AGTACAGAGTATGGAAGACAACATGTTCCCTACAACCGGCCAAACGGCTGGACCGAATAGGCTCAATTTGTTTTTGGACAATCATGGGTATTGGGTAGCCTGGGAGTGACAGGTTAAACATTTTTTTTCTTCAAAACTCGAAGTTTTTTTTTTCAAAAATCGTAATTTTTTTTCCTTCAAAAAATCGGAATTTTTCTTATTAAATTGAATTTTTAAAAATTTCACGGGCAACGCTGCGCGGCCTGCGGGGCACTTTAGCTAGTTAAATATATGTCCAATTAGAATGTTGAAAAACTTTGCTAACCCATGATTTTTTATATAAAAAGTGAATTTTTTGGTTGCAATAAATAATTAGTGGATGATTTTTGACAAGAAGAAAATAACAAATTCTCTACTTAAATCATACATTCCTGAATTTCTTTGTAAACCTAACTTTTATTATTATTGAAATGATTATGATAGTATTGATATTTTTTTTGCTTTTTAAAAAAAGATTTTTTTTTGGATTTCAAGTTATTAAATTAACAAATTTCATCTAAACACTGTAAATTTACTAAAGGAGACACTTTTTTATGGAAAACTAATTCATGAAACTGTTGTCATTAGATAGCTATTCAAGATAAAAAACATCTTTTAAATCGCCTCTCAAGCCTTAAGTCTCATTTTTGTGTAATAAAAATTGGAAGTGAGTGACGACTTATTAATCTTTTTTTACACAATCGATTCAATTATCTGATGATTCAGGGATTTCAAAAAAGTTGTTAGGCCTGTTTTGGACGCCACGTTTTTAGAAGGAGAAACAATGTATATTAATATGAGTTTAAATAAGTGAATGCAGTTTATGTCTCATCACTAAATAATCCCATTCTCNCTCTCCAGTAAACTAAACATTTAGCTGAGAACCGGAGAACGGGAGAACCGGAGAAACGGAGAACCAGATCACCGGAGAACCAGAGAACCAGCGAGCATGGAACTCTCCAGGTTGGGGACTCAACAGAATCTGGTAATTCCCTCCAATTAGGGTTTCTTTTGTTATTGCTTAATTGGAAATTTTTGCATTTTTTTTTTGCAAAACAATTTCCTCATTTCGCTCACTGATACCCATATGTTGTTATTGCAGAGCTTCCAGAGCTGAGGGGCCATTTTTTTGGGGGGGGCTCACACTAATGGAGACAGCTTGCACATTGGAGACATTACTTCCGGGAACAAACAGGGATTTACTTCCTGGCATCCATGCATATAGGTCATAGGGGTCACTTCCTGGCAACCACGTATATAGGCCATAGGGTTACTTTTAAAAACCTCATATAAAAGGGATGGGTCACTTCCAGGGAAGCTTCTGTTAACCAACAAAAAGAACTGTTTTTTAACAAACAGAAAAAATGTTTAATAAATGTTTAATGAATGTTTAATGAATGGTCAATAAATGTTTAATAAATGTTTAATGAATGTTTAATAAATGTTTAATGAATGTTTCATAAATGTTTAATGAATGTTTAATGAATGTTTAATAAATGTTTAATGAATGTTTAATAAATGTTTAATGAATGTTTAATGAATGGTCAATGAATGTTTAATAAATGTTTAATAAATGTTTAATGAATGTTTAAAGAATGTTTAATGAATGTTTAATGAATGTTCAATGAATGTTTAATAAATGTTCAATGAATGTTTAATAAATGTTGAATGAATGTTTAATGAATGGTCAATGAATTTTTAATGAATGGTAAATGAACGTTTAATAAATGTTTAATGTTTTTAATAAATGTTTAATGAATGTTTCATAAATGTTTAATGAATGTTTAATGAATGTTTAATGAATGTTTAATAAATGTTTAATGAATGTTTAATGAATTTTTAATAAATGTTTAATGAATGTTTAATGAATGTTTAATGAATGTTTAATGAATGTTCAATGAATGTTTAATGAATGACCAATGAATTTTTAATGAATGTCAATGAACGTTTAATAAATGTTTAATGTTTAATGAATGGTCAATGAATGTTTAATGAGTTTTTAATTAATGTTAAATAAATGTGTAATGAATGTTTAATGAATGTTTAGTTAATGTTTAATGAATGTTTAGTTAATTTTTAATGAATGTTTAATAAATGATTAATGAATGTTTAATGAATTTTTAATGAATGTTTAATAAATGTTTAATGAATGTTTAATAAATGTTTAATGAACGTTTAATGAATGTTTAATGAATGTTTAATGAATGTTTAATAAATGTTTAATGAACGATTAATGAATTAGCTCAGTTATCAGGTAAAACTAACATCTTCTTGTAGAATTAGTCAGTTCTGTTTAAGGTTTCCATTATTCGGGAAAAAAATTCCATTTTGGAAAAAATTTCCGGATGGAAATGAATGAACCATATGAATATTAATCAAAACTAGGTTTTCAATTGATAAATTAAAATAAAATATTTATAACACTTATTTTATTTCGCAGTTTTATAAAGTTTTTGGAGAAAATCTGGGAACCAATGAAAACTTTATAGCTTACGTGCTAAAATGTGCAGCTAATTTAACATTATACCATGACGATTATTTTATAACAAATTCATTATGAAATTCACATTGAAGTGAGTAATAATGATAAAGTACACTATAGTTTCATACATGATTACCTTCAAAGAAATCTTAAACTCTTTAAATATGATAATTAGGGAACTGGCTTAAATATAGTCTCTAAATGAATTGGTGTAAAGATAATGAAATACAGGGTGTCCCACGAAACATGACAGTTGGTGAATAGATTACAATGTCTTCTTCCATAATTTGTTAAATTGTTTGATACCAAAGACAATAATTAAAATATCACATGGGAGCCATGTTATAATAAAATAGATTTCAAAGTAAAAAATATTTTTAAGCAAAAGAATTTTTTAAGGAAATAAACTGCAAAAAAGCCTTTAATATCAAATACAGATTATGGAAGACAACATTCATAAAAAATTATCAACTTCAGTCAGCTGTCTCTGAAGTTTCATCCTATATGTTTCAAATCAATCATTAGAACCCAGAAGTGTTGAAAGATAATGTTCTTAAATTGATAAAAGCTATGAACTGTGTAATCTAATGCATGCAAGTCTAATTCATAAATGCCTTTTTTTCCAAAAGTGTAGTCATTTTATTCTAGAATATTCTAGAGTGTAAACTGTTCAACCAATCGGAGCTGTTATTGTTCAATATTTAACATGCTTCCTGTTGATACTCTTGATAAGGACAATGTCACATTTACAGTTCTTGTTTAATAATGGTGTTTTTAATGTTTAATAAAATACTTCTTCTTTGCTTTGCAAATTTTATTAGCTGCAGTACTGGAACCATTGTACTCAATACGAAAAGAAATGCAAATGGAGATTGTAAAGAGAGTGTTCAAGCATGGGATAACACAGATCTCAACTCAATTGAAATCCAATTTAAAAAGAAGTGGTGGAATTCACATGATTTAGAACAAGTTGATGTTAACTTCTTCTTGGAAGTTTATAATGAGCAGAATAAAGTTATAACTGTTAACTGGACTCAAAGCGTCAAAAATCAAGAAAAAATTAACTTTTCCTCTCAGCTTGGTAGATTAGAGTTATGCAATTCAAATGGAGAAAATTTCAAAGTGAATATCTTTCTAGGTATCCAAAATCTTTAGTTAATAGTTTATTTTTGCGTTTAATGAAATAAATGAGATACTGCCCAAATGAAAAACTTATGCTTCAAATTTCTTCTCAAAAATGAAAATGATATAATGTCAAATTTAAAAGATTATGTAATATAAATGAGATTATTATGATATTTCAGAGGTTTCCGGATGTACAGAAAATATTAAAAGACAGGTCACAAACATGGTTGATTGGAACTCAGAAAGAGAATATATTAAAGCTCTGTCTGACTCCAAAACTTCAGTCAATGCATCCTTTAGAATAGAAAATGGTAGCATGATAGTGGACAATTGGGGAGCTTTAAGCAATCTTAGTGCTTGCTCTGAAATTTCATACATAAGACTTCAGAATGAACAAAACTACTACTTATCGGAAAAAGTGTATAAAACTAGTTTTCTGGTATTCAGCAATTTAGCAGAAATAGTTTTAACTAAAAATGACTGCTCTGAGAGAAATTATTATTTAGAAATGGAGTACAAGGACTTTTACAAAAACAATAAGTTACAAAAAGTTCTCTTTGGTCATTTGAAAACAAATTTTCATGCTGCTGCAATATTTTTCAAGAACTTAACATCCATGGATATAACAACAAATAATACTGGAATATATATCTTAAGGAAAATACAATGGCCCAGGATGGGCTGCAACCCTTCTTTACAAATATTCAGTTTAAAAGATTCTTATTATCATCGGTTAACTTCAACATTTCAACGAACTCAGGATTTTCCTTTTTTTCCGTTTGACACACAGACTGGCCATTGTTATATATCAGCAGGTAAACCCACTATCAATTATCTTTTAACAGCAGTCTTGGTGTCTTTTTTATATTAAATGGCTTGGGGATCTTAAGTACTGCTACAGAATTTCTTCTTGAGAGTTTTTAGTAAAGTTACAGATTAATTTCTTTGATCAGAACACAGATATTCAGTAGGGTGTCAAAAAAATAATTCATTTAAAAAATAATCCATTTTTCCCCATTTAATGTGGTCTCTGGATTAAGAAAATAGCCAAACACATTTTCAAAAATATTTCAATGTTAAAGGTGTTCTGTGTACTGTGTAATTGGCTGAAATTTAACTGCCAAAAAAGGCATGTTGACTTTCATGGACATTAATCTTTGAATGCATAGAATTTCACTACACTTGCGCTATAAAAATTATTAATATGAAAGAAGTAAAGTGAATTGGTGTCTTGTTTTTAGGTTATCCCATTACTGTAAGGCTAAACGATGTCAGAGGTTAGTCAAAAAATGAATTAAGTAATCCTAGTTCTGGGCTGTGGTACCTTCATGGCCTTACAATGTTACAGAGATAAACCAAGGAATGACATAGAGCAGGAGTCACCCCCTTCCGCCTAATAATATGATTTAATACATTTATAGCTGACTAGTACCTGTAATATTTACAGCATTGGTTACTCATACTAAACTCCCGCCCTGTCTCGCCCCTTTCTCTCATTGTTTTCTGATTCAAAGCAGAATATAGAACCTGAAGATTGGACAGTGCACCCCAGATACTTCTAGAATACAGACGCAGAGTTTAATCTCCCGTTTGTATAGGAAGGCTGGGGGACTTGCACAACAGATGGTTAACAGACAGCTAACAGATAGATATATCTTTATCATGCCTACCAGGGAATGAAGGAGGACACTGGCCTCCTTCCACCTCAATATACAGGAGTCTACACCCTCCGAGTCCTCCACATCACTGAGGATATCAGAGGACGCTCTTTACTCTCAGGCTGGTTTAGGAGAGACAAACATAAGAGTTCTCCATACTCGTTTGTAGACCTCAACAAGAGATTTATCTCTATAGCTTCTAGAACTGGACCAATTGCTCTCGCAGCAGCCCATCTGAACTACCCACTGGGATATCTTGGAAACAGAGAAGAACTAGGATACCCAATAAATCGGATGCTGCCTCATCCTTTTATTAGAGATGCGGAGCTCCGGTAATGAACAGCTAACATAGCAGAGAATTTAGGATCAGCTCCAGTAATTAACAGCTAACATAGCAGAGAATGTAGGAGCAGCTCTGGTGATGAACAGCTAAAATAGCAGAGACTCTAGGAGTAGCTTCGGTAATGAACAGATTTAGATCAAACTGAAAAGCTGATAAATCCCATTCATTCATACTCGAAGAGATATATATTGAGAAAACATTAAAAGGGTTTATGAAACAAAGTACGGGGACTTCAAGTAAGACATTGTACATGCCCTAAACAGATGAAGCAAATTATTGATCTCGAAAGTCCCTAAAATTCATGTCTGTAAGTGTAATCAAAAGAATATTGTTAATCATAACATACCTCATTTGGAAAAGAAAATTACTACATTAAATAAAATCAAGGTACGGTAAGGCCATTTGAAAATTAAACTCTAGATAGAATAGTTCATTCTGAAAAAAAAACTAGTTTAAAAAGGTTATATTAGGATTTCAGGAGGAACAAAAATATAAAAAAGACAATAGTTTTCAAACAAATTGTTTCGTTTTTAGATTTTTTGTGTTGTTAATATGACGAAACGAACATTTTTCAAAAAAGTAAAAACTGCCCATCCCTTGCAGCAACACTAGTTTTGCCCAGAATTTGATATGAGCGAAATTGCGCATTGTTTTTGCTAGCTTCTGCAAAATTTAATTTTTGCACAAAAATGCGGAACTGGATGTAAAAGTTTGCAGAATACACAATCAAATTTGCAAGGAATGGCTCATTTTTGGGAGAAAGTTGGCTTACGTTATAAACCTCTGTTTTGTTTGATGTAGTTAAGTAAAAACATTTTATTTTATAAAAAGTTGATTTTTAAAGATATTCATTTCTTAATGGAGTACCAGTCAGTAAAACATGTTTTTATCATATGATGAGGTCAACTCCTGCTCCATGGTATTCTATACTCCTTGACTTAAACACAATTATTTTCATGTGCATTTTGTTTGTTTCATTTTTAAAAATAAAAAAGTTAACCCTTCTAAAGTTTAAATTTTCAATGTATAAAACAATGCTATTTTAAGTCTTCTTTTTTTGACTCATCCAGTAGATATACCGCTCCCCATATCCAAAGGAACAAATGTTAATCCAGTGGTTGTAAATGAAAATGAAGACGAAATCATAATCAAATTAGAGACTTCAAATGAAGACTGCTATGATCAATTGGAATTACATAGTGATAAAAATTTCATAGTAACTATTAGTCCCAATATAATTGACAATCAGAGAATGTTTCTAATCCCTAAAACATCCTATTGTCTTTCTCAACTGGTTTTTAAGAGTAAAATTGGTTCATACATTGAGTCAGAACTGTCAGGGTTGGATTTGGCTCTGAATTACAATGCCAGTTCAAACACATTGACACTAAGCACACTGAGATTTAAAGTATTCCAAAAGTGCCAATATCTGACATTAAAACTTTTGTGTTATTCCGAAGGCATTCTTGAAGTTGAGAAGCTAATAACTGCCAGTTATGGAAAATATGTTGCTGACAATTCTATTAAAAACATGAGCTGCAAAGTTTACCATCTTGGGCTTGAATCAAATTTAGAGTTTGTTGGTAGTGATCTAGCTGTAGCAAGCTCTATCAGCCAATATGGTCTGGTTGGTATCTCATTATTCCTGATTTTTTGCTCAGTAGCAGCATTTTTAGTGTTGAGACTCAAGATAAATCCCACAGGATTAACCGTTCTGAAATTCAACCGGAGGCCTATAAAACAGAATATTGACAGTGCACTGAAAGAAGATCAAGCTTTGAAAATGGAATTTCTTTCAATTGAAAACACATCTCTGAATGAAATCTACAAGAAAGAAACATCTTTGGTTGGAAAAACCCCTGAAAATCGTAAACACAACAGATACAATGACATCATACCATTTGATTCAAATATTGTAACCCTTTCTGAAAAAACAGGTGAACAAAGTAAATTTGAATGAATTCAAAGCAAGAAAAAATTTTGATTTTTAAAAGTTTCTGACATGGACCAAGAAGAAAAAATAAATTATTAGCAATATCTATGTTGATTTATGTCAACAAGCCTACCTCTGTTCAGATTACACAAACTTGAATAACATGTTTGTATAGGGGAACCACCATCAACATATATGAATTGTTCCTTCATAAAATTTTAATTGGAAACAGGTCTGATTAACTTATAATAATTGAATTAGAGTTTATGGAGGTCAAAACGCAGGTCAAGGACCTCTGATCTCACATTTTCTTTGTAGATGACTACAATTAGAGGCTGCATGCAAAATTTTAGATTTTTATCTCAATTATTAGGACCTATGCAGTAAACAAAATTTGGTATCACAAAGTTTCAAATTGGCTCCTCCTCCCCTTTTATACAAAATTTTTATACATACATTTTTGTATAAATTTGACACTGTTTTACATCAACTTCTTGAGACAGAAACAATAATCTCCTAAAATGCCTAGGTTTCAGCCTATATCCATGTTCAGTTTTCCTTTACAGACTACAGTCCCTTTAAACTGAGTTTAGGCACCACCGAAGGGGACTATCCCCTTGTTTTGGCAGTTGGTATTCGAACAGAGTGTGAAAAATATTATTATGCTGACAAGTCTCACAGAAAAAGATCGGTAATAATTAAGTAAAAAGTATAGGCCATAAAC